GAATGTTAGAAGAAATAAAGAGTATTATATCTCAATTAAAAAAATACAAATTTAGCATTTGAAAAATATGGTATTTTATTGAGAAAATATGATATATAAGTTATGAATTATTCTTATTTATTAGATTATAGAATGATTTTATACTCAAATATTCAAAATAAAGTAAATAGAAGATAAAATGCTCAAAAGATTATGATATATGTTGCAATATAAAAAGAATTATATCAGTAAAAGTAATATAGACATTTTCATAAAAAGGAATAATGATGCTCAAAAGATTAAGATATATATGGTAATATAGAAAGAATCATTTCTACATTTAAAAAAAGAAAAAAAAAAAAAAGGAAAAAACGCGCTCCATTATTTATTCGCCGTTCGACAAGCATTCTCTTCTAATGGAAGACAACAATGCTCCTGCCACGGCCACCGCAGCCACGGAAACGAAGCCTTTCCAATCGAAAAGTTGGGCCGACGTAGCTGATGAGCCCGATCCGGAGCAAGAGGAAGCCGAGACCTCGAATGAGAAATCCGACGTTCAGTTGGATTCACTTGCCATCGACGAGTCCAAGAGAGTCAACAGTAACCTCACCGATCCTGATGATTCCAGAATTGAAGCTGTATGATCTCTCTTTTACTGTGCAATGATTATAAACATATTTATATAATTGTGCATCTGATTTCTGGGTTATTCTTAACTTTTTTTCTGAAATTAAAGGTTTTGAGTATGATTTCGACTATTTGCGATCTGTTAGGTTACAGTTTTATAAAGATTGGTATTTTGAGTTGATTTCTGAATTTATTCTTTAGTATAATATTGCTAGGGATCTAACTTTTTGAGGTTTTTGGTTCAATATTGATGTAATTGTGCATTTTCTTGGAATTAGGTTGTAAGCTATTAAACCCTAATACCAAGATCTTGGAATTCCTTGATTTTCACTTATAAGTTAATTGATCAAGAAACATACCTTCATCCATGATAATTGATTGAAGATTTAGACTTACAAAATAAGAGAAACAAGAAAACCAAAAAAATGTTCTCTCTCTTTACCTCTCTCTAATTGAATATAGTTAATTTGATGGGTTTCATCTCTAATTGAATATAGTTAATTTGATGGGTTTCATTCACGTTTATAGGCAGTTTCTTATGGCCACAAAACTATCCAATTTCCATCAAAGTGGACAGTTATAAATGGGGTTGGATTTAAGAAATATTGACCACTTTAATTAATTCTTTAATAATGTTACATGGGCCACAATTAATTGGTTTTAAGTAGGTTTCTTGTTAATAAAATTGCAAAGCATTTCATTTTTTTTTAAATTTCTTATTCTGACAATAATTAATTGAAGTTTTCATCTACATCTCCATACGTTAAAGGTTTAATTCGGCTCTAGGTTTACATTTTTCAGAAACTGTACTAACCTTTTTGGTTCTCCTGCAGTTCACTGTTGACTGTCAGTTAATTTTCATAGACCCTTTGTGGTATGCTCATTTGGGGTATTGATATTTAAAATGTAGGTAACATCTGGTGACACTCCATATACATCAGCTAAGAGATTTGAGGATTTAAATCTGTCGCCTGAATTATTGAAGGGTCTGTATATTGAGATGAAGTTTGAGAGGCCTAGTAAGATTCAGACTATTAGTTTGCCAATGATTCTAACTCCTCCGTACAAGAATTTGATAGCTCAGGCTCACAATGGCTCTGGGAAGACCACATGTTTTGTGCTTGGTATGTTGAGCCGTGTCAATCCAAAACTCGAGGCTCCCCAGGCACTTTGTATCTGCCCCACCAGAGAACTGGCCATTCAGGTTTGTCGATTGTCATTTTTGGTAATAATCTTACATTTGCGGTTATTTATATTTGATATTCGAACCACTGGAAGTAGTCATTTCTTGGTATGCCATTCTAGTTATATCTATTTAAGTTGATAGCAAACTGATAGTCACGGGCAAAAATTGCTGTTTAGTCTTGAGGGTTTCTATCAGAATTTGAGTGTCTATGTAAATTCAAAGAGTATGATGGGCAGTTACAAATTTCAATTCCATCAAAGGTTGTAAACTTTAGTCACATTGTATCGTTTTATTAAATAGGGTGCATGCATTCTGGTTGCTGTGTGAAGCTTTATTATGAATGTAACTAGTTAGTTTTCTTAGTCTGATTATGAAACTGAATGAATCTTGCAGAATATGGAAGTGCTCCTCAAAATGGGGAAATACACTGGGATAACTTCGGAATTAGCAATACCAGCAGATTCTGCAAACTACATTTCAATTCATAAGAGACCACCCATTACCGCACAAGTAATTATTGGCACCCCTGGTACAATAAGTAAGTGGGTAATAGCAAAGAAACTGGGTGTGAGTCAAATGAAGATTCTTGTTTTTGATGAGGCAGATCACATGTTGGCTGAGGTAATTAACGTTTCCTTCTGGGGATAAATTTACTTCCACCTATATGTACGATTACTTAATTTCTTCTGTTTGCTGCTTTGTTGGTAGGCTTTTCAGTTACATCTTTAAGCTGCTGCTTGCTCTTGTTCATCATCTCTTACAGACCTTTTGATTCTTTTGACTCTAATTTTATATCAATGTGCAAGATACTTGCTTGGTGGAGTTGAAATTTTTTTATTGTTGATTAGCACCAACATATGCTTGCAAGATCCTCTCCTTACACATTGTTCTTGATTGCTTTGAGAAACGGTAGGTTGAAAATTAATATGTCAGCTATCATTTTGTAGAAAGAAAAAAAAGAAAGCCAGAAGACGAACTTAATTTGATTGCATTAAGGTCCTCATTTTTCTTCATATTTGATCCTTGGAAGATCTAAGTCTCTCCTGCAGTTTCTTTCCTTCTTTATTTTATATTTTTCCTTTTAAATCTGAATTGTATTGTATTATTGACTTGACCGTATTGAGTTTCATCTTTGGATGGTCAGAGGATTTATTATCCTGTTAACATTGAAGATTTTCTATGTTAAACTCTAAATTTGGTGTACTATATCACAATGCTTGCTGTATCATGGCACATGGAATTTTCCCTGTGATAACATGCAGTGGGAGGATTATGACAAACAAGAAGCTATGTCTTATGTCTGTTAGGCAGAGGATTATGACTTCAGCATTTTATACTTTGCTTAAAATTACTATATACTCGATACCTATCTAAGTTATGTACTCCAGTTAGTTGAATATGTTACTTTCTTATGGTTGAGGAATAGATTGCTGTCTATAGAAGATCTTTATTATTCTTGATTTTACTGATTGGGTGATTTTTTGGTATATGTAGAGTGGCTTTCAAGATGAGTCAGTGAGGATAATGAAGGCAATTCAAAAAGGCAGTTCCAATTGCCAGGTTGGCTAATTTTACTGCATATTTTTTTAACTGTTTCTATGATGAAATGTGCTACAATCTCCTGCTTTTATGTTCATTGCTTCTGAACGAGTATTGTCTACTTCTTGATGACATGATCATTGATGAAAAGATCAGCTCTTTTTTGTTCTGCCTCCTCCAGTATTAACTTCTTTGAATTGCAATAATAACTTTGTTCAGATACAATGCTGTCTGCATTGAGACCACCTACTGTAGATATCATAATATATTTGTGTCAGTCGTGTACAGCTGAACTGGAATTAACAACTTGCCTATCTCGAGCTTATTACAAGCTTCTATCTGGTGGCTTTACCATTACGAATGTCCGGCTAAAAGCATAAAAGGAAGAATTTCAATATATAGTACTTGAAAGTATATTCTGGCTTTTTATTGACGTCTTCACATATGTCCTTTGTGGATTGTGTATTTGACCTTGTTTCTGTTACCGGCAATTGTCACCAGGTGCTCCTGTTTTCTGCAACATTTGATGATGCTGTTAGGGCCTTCGTCACTAAAATTGTGAAGGAGATATTTGTTAGAGACTATAACCAAATGTTTGTTAAAAAGGAAGAACTATCTTTGGAGTCTGTCAAACAATATAAAGTGCAGTGTCCGGATGAGCTTTCAAAGATCATGGTCATTAAAGACAAAATATTTGAAATAGGAGAGAAGGTAGGGCAGACAATCATATTTGTCCGCTCAAGGAACAGTGCATCTATGTTGCACCAAGCTTTAGTCAAGTATGGATATGAGGTTACTACCATTCAAGGGGCTTTGAAGCAAGAAGATAGGGACAGAATAATAAAAGAGTTCAAGGAAGGTTTGACTCAAGTTCTTATATCTACTGATCTTCTTGCTAGGGGTTTTGATCAATCACAGGTGACTATCTCTTCTACTGTTATTCCTAATTTTTAATTGTACGATTTCCTATCTTGTAACGTGAAGTTGTAGAAGATGCCTATTTATTTCTCCAGGTCAATTTGGTTGTCAATTTTAATCTCCCTGTGAGGTATGACAATCCTTCTGAACCTGATTATGAGGTATACTTACATCGGGTTGGTAGAGCTGGGCGCTTTGGCCGCAAAGGTTACTTCTCTTTCTTATTTTTTTTAGTGCTTACTTTGTTCCCATTTTTCCATCGCACGCTTTTTGATAACATTTAGTGAATTCAAATAGCTGGTGTGGAAGTTACTGCATTTAGAATTTTCTCCCATAGTGCTTGCTTTGTTCCCATTTCTTCCTTCTAATTGGAGGTTATGATTTTTCTTGTCCGAATATGCTCGTTTGGTAAAGCCTTTTTCCCCCCAGATTTTGAGCTGTTCAAACTTAATTTTTAAACATTTTATTGGATCCACAACTTTTATCCACTTTTTAACCACTCATCTCATGTGACAACTAGCTTATAATCTCAAAAAGCTCGTCAAACGGGGGCTAAATAATTTCTTGAATCTATTACTTCCTTGGCTTGGTGAAACCCTTTGATTCTATGTTCAAACTTCGAACCTCCTGTTTAAATATGCAACATAGTAATCTTCAATTCATCATATATGCAAAAAACAGCCCGTGATGGTTCAGCAATTCGTCATGTAATGTATGTAGAGTTCTTCCTGAAGAAGGGGATTCGTTGCTGCCTGGTTGTATATAGACTCTTTTTCTGTGCAAATTCTGCAGTATGACACTCTTTTTGTAATTTAACAGGTGCTGTATTTAACTTGCTCTGTGATGATAGAGATAATATGATCATGGACAAGATTGAGCAAAACTTCAACACTCAAATAACTGAGGTGAAATCTTTGTACTCTTCTTGGGCAGAGTTCAGCCTGTGTTCTCTGTTTAATATTCTAATTTTTCACTTAATATACCGTAAAATAGATTTTTTTTAGTAGATTGTTTTACGATTGTTTGTCGATTTTTTTAAAGAATGAATTTAGGACTAGTTTTGAGGGTAATTTTCTGAACCACAATATATTACCAACTTTATGTGATGCAGTTGGGCTCGTGGAAAAGCAACGAGGATTTTGAGAATGCTCTCAAGAAAGCAGGGTTGCTCTGAATGTTGGATGTGAATTGTGGGATGCCATGTATCGATAACGTTATCTGTTTTCAGTTGGATTATTTTTCTTCAAGCTAGAAGTAGAGGCGGATGCATTTCTGTGCTTGCAGTATTCGAGAAACTACACTGAACAACACTTTTGTTACATCGCGGATTTTTGGCAATGAGTTCAGTGGATTAAAATAGTGAAATCTATATGGTTTTGGCTTCCTTTCTTCCTGGTTTTTAGTTGGTGGTCTTCATTATGTACCATTATGAAATATCGATGTATCATTCAAACGGCTTTCTTTAGTTTTAGTGATTGTTTGATAGGGATTTTGTTAATTGATTTTTTGACTGTTAGAGATAAAGTGGGTTCTATTTGTGAGAGAAGAATTCAAAAATAACGGTTGAAATAGTGAAATAACGGTCAAAAAATTGATTTTAATTGGATTAAAATTCGGACCAAACATGCTCTTAATTTTGAAGCAGACAAAAATTAATTCTGCTCCAGTTCTGATCATCAGAAAAATTTGGGGTGAGGGGAGGGGTGGCGTGGGGTGGAGTCGCAGATTTCAATTTGAGAGTTGACTCTAATCCAATTAGATTAATGTGTAGAAACTAATATTTTCAGGACCAATATTAGTAGATTAGTAAACCAGTAATTGAAGGTTTGGATGTGGCAATACTCTATATATAATGCTACAACTGAGGTTTCTTTCCATTTCTTGGTAAAAATGAGTGATGGTAATAAATTATTTCTTTATACTTCCAAAAAAATCGTACTTTCCAATTTCTACCCATGAAAATTCTGTCGCTATAGTATGGTAAGGATTTGACCGTAAATTTAAAAAGTTGCCTGCATACATTTTGTCTAATTCGATAGTATTATTTATTAAAATTGGAGGAAAGTCAGTCGCAATAATTTTGTCACATACAAATACCAAAAAACAGAAGTTTCATAATATATCGTTGGAGCCCTAAAATTTCTTAATAAACTGCTCAATTAAATAAATAGGCATATAGAAAGTTCGATGCCCTTTAAAAAAAGAAAAAAAACCTTCATGGTTTGCACGTTCCAAGCTAGTGGTGGCTTAGTGGTCTTCCACACAGTATTTGATCATAATTTCTTCTCTTCTATATATATTTATCATACTTTCTCCAGGCAGTACTCTTCATCTTCCAATAAATTCAAATTTGTGGGTGTTTTTTGGGTGAGAGAAATGGAAAGAACAAGTATTTTGTTGATTATTGCAGCAGCTTCATTTTTATTTATGTTCAATGGTGTGGCTGATGCTTTGAAAAAGGATTCTGAGGTATTTCAAGTTGGTGGCAAAGTCCTTTGCCAAGACTGCACTGAGGGATGGAATGAATGGGTTACTGGTGCCAAACCTATCAAAGGTATTTCTCTCTCCTTCAAATCGACCTATATACATAATAGGCACGTGCATGGACATGTCAATGACATTCTAAATAAATAAATTCGTCTTTTATCTTCAAAAGCTTAAATTTTTGGATGAGACACAACAAAATTTTCAAGGAGAGAGATGATAGGTATTGAAAAAATTTAGAACTTAGCTCCTTGTACATATAAAATGTACAGAATACATTACAAATGATGAGGTGACAACATTGCATTGGTTAGTTTAAATTTTTCCTTTTTTTTTTTCTGGGCCAACATCCAATTAAATCTTGCCAGCTGGCAATCTGTCAAAAAATTGTTAACCATTTCTATACATGTAGCATGATTCAATAGTTTATATGACCATGCAGGTTGCAAGGTATCTGTAACATGTCTAGATGACAGGAGCAGAATTGTGCATTATGCAAGTGACTTAACAGATGATGCTGGGAATTTTGAGATTTCTGTGACAAAATACACCAATGGGGTGAAGGAGCTCAAACCCCAAAATTGCTTTTTAAGGCTAGTGTCATCGCCGGATCCTGTGTGCAACATTGCCACCGACTCTGCCGGCGGGAAGACCGGCGTGAAGCTCCACCACCCAACCGTTGTGTACCGGGACATTGTCAAGTATGTGCTTGGCCCATTCTACTACTCCACTCCCATGTGTGATGAACCTGATACTAGTATTATTGATTCTGATGATGGAAAAGAAAGCAACTACTAAAGTCTCGTCTTTATTGTACCGAAAAACAGTGGAATAGTTCGACCAAAAGTCCATCAGTTGCACGTACACTTCTTGTTTGTTCAATTTGCACTTCTCTTGTGTTGATTAAATGATACAATGAAGAATCTTTAATTATTGGATCATGTTCACTTCAACATGTTCTTTATGTAATTCTTTGTGGTTTCAGATGTTAATTGAAGATATTCACAGGTTTCTTGAAGAAGTTGGCAGAAATGAGAATTTTAAGGTAGATAAGATTTAAAAATAAAAAAATAAAAAATGAGAATATATATCAACAAGTAGAAGTCGCCGGCATCGCCTAATTGTGGGCCAACTCATACTAACCTCGTTGTTATCATTTTTTTTATTTATTTAATTGAGAAAAGCAAATTTACGTATCTTAGACTTTCAATGCTACGCATAGAAAAATCGGAATTTTGGGTCGGAACAACTCAATTCTGGACTATGCAGCTCATGAACAACTCAATTAAATATGTACGAACATATGCAGGAGAGGGGCCGGGAGCGGGATCACAGTGAATTCTCTTAAAGAAAAAGTTTTGTCCATCAAACATATCGAGGCGATCTTTTCTTGTAAACAGTATCGTACCCAGGCTCCCTTGCCTTATTTATGCTGACTACAACCTAATTCATCATCTATAATCAAACTCACTAAAAATTATATAAAAAAAAAAATGTTTTAGTATGGAAGAATCCCATTTGTCTTTCCTACGCGCAATCGTGAGAACGAACTCAATAACTTGGACGATATACGATCAAAATGCCTTAATGATTGTGTATACCCACGATACGATCTACTCCTCATGAGCTCTGCTCTTAAAGAAGATGAAGATGAACAACCCCTTTCACTCTCCCTTTCTATATTAACGACAACATAAAACTGATCCATGGACAAAGATCTATTCAATCCCATTATTAAACCCCTCGATGGCAACGACAAAGTTGATGGTGATCTCCTTTCCATTGGCAATACCAGTGAATAACAATGGCGAAGAAGAGCAGAAGGTTGCACCGCAGATGAAGAACCGTTCTCTATTGTACTTGTATTTTCATGAACATGATAATTTCCAGAAGAAATCCTATTATTTCTGGTGGTATTTTCTATGGCCGGCAATGGCACTGCAGTAGCAGTTTTATCATCATCTTCTTCTTTTTCTTCAGCAACAATGGTGGATCGACAAAGAGGGCAATTTACATGCGCCATAAGCCATTGATCTATGCATGGCAAATGAAATGCATGCTTACAATTAGGAAGCAAACGCACCATATCTTCATCTTCCATATCGCCTAAACAAACGGCGCATTCACTCTGATCCAAATTCTGTTTTCTTAGAGATGAGTAAGCCATAACTGGGATTGTTTCGAGGACTTTCTCCTCCACGCCGGTCGGACGGGCTTCACAGACAGGTGGCGCGGCGGCAGTGGTGGTGGTTCCTTGCCGCCTCAGGCAGTATCTAACCAAGACGAAGTGGTAGACTATTATGGCTAGGGATGTTGCAATTATTCCTAGCAAGGAAATCATCAATGGAGTAAAAAAAGTGCCTGTCGATGCCGCCGGTGGTGCATTCAAGCTCTCCATGGATCATACTATGAATTTTGGATGGGATTTTTGGCTTGGAATGACAAAAGAATTTGGGAGAATGAAAGAAAAGAAGTATTATGTTGTCTCGTTTTCTAATGTGCTGAGTGATCCCATTAGGTTGCCTAACGTATATATATAAATAAATAAACTACGTATATATATTAAGTTTCTAAAAATTTTGATATATATATATTTGGTAGGAATTACACAAAATCTTGTTCTAAATTATGTTATCAAACAAGAAAAGTTTCGATGAGACGACTTATACGTACATGTGATAGGATTGTCCATTCAAATTACGATACCTTATTGTTTTCTGTCTTATCATCTCGAACGTCAAAGTATCGCGATTTAAGTGGATCGAGATTTGATGTGCAATGATTTGAATGAACAGTTCTACCATGTGTACATATACTAACATCCTATCGAAAAAATTTTTAGCTAGACATAATAAGTGTATTTTTAGTGCGTTGTAATTTGACAAGCATTCTTATTGCTCTCTCCACGTCCTCGATATGCTAGACGAATATTCAAATTACACGTGTAATTATTATGTCGTGTACATCCTAGAAAATTTCTCTATTGTATGTGTGGTCGTGATTAAATTAACTGAAAGTATATAGTGACCAAGGTTTGTGCAATCAAAAAAATTGGGTTTTTAAATTAGGGTGACGAAGAGATTGACAGTTGTGAAGAATGGGGTTGGAATAAGCTTAAAAGGCTGAAAAGAGTGGTGAAAATTGCAAGTGGTGGGCGGTGTTATAGAGAGAAACTGCGTCAGCGTGTGGTTATATTTATTTCCATATTCAATTGCGGCCAATGTTTGGACACACGTAAGGTATCAATGGACTTTTCCTCTGAGGTCGGTTGATGCCGTTGGATACAAAATAATATTATTATTTCATTTGTTTAGCTTCTCATCTTTTATTAAATCTTTATTTCGAGTTTCTATTATTATATTCCAAAAGAACTTTTGTTTTTCACGATCTGGTCTGGTCTGGTCTGGTCTGGTTTGTACGAATTTATCGTGTATTTTTATCATCAACTAAGATTTTGATTGATTTTAAAATACTATAAATTCTAATGAATTTCATGAATTTGAATAGATTTTTACAAATTTTATAAGAATCTCATCAAATAGAGTGAAATTTCAAAAGATTTGGTTATGCGTATTTTTAAACTTGAAATCCATTCAAATATTTTGAAATTCTACTATTAATGAAATTTTCATAAATTCACTAGTTATTAAGAATACCTAAATTTTAAAGATTTATTGAATTTCATTAAAATCTCAATTGGAGAAACCTAAATTTTAATGGATTTAAATTTTAGCCCTGTTTGAGCCTCATTTTTTCTTATTCTTTTTTATTATTTTTTATAAAATGTTCATTTTCAACCACATATTCCTCATTAAAATAATATTACACGTATTTTTTTTATTTTTTAACCATACATTTTTCATCAATTTACTATTTCATAATACATTACAATAAGCCCTTGTTTGACCCCATTTTTCGGTAATGAAAATGAGAGAAATAGAATTTTTTTTTTAAAATGAGAGGTTGAAAAAGAAGGAAAAAGTTTTCGATTTATGTGTAATATTATTTTATGAAAGATTCTGTGGTTGAAAATATGAGAAAGAAAAATAGAATATAATGAAATGTAATTTAATGGGGGCCAAATAGAGGCTAAATTAATGTGGTCAAAGAGGGCTTTAATGAATTTCATTAATATTCATTAAAATTTCAATTGAGAACACCTAAATTTAGAATAATTTCTAAAATTCATCACAATTTTAATTGAAAACACACCTTAATTTAATCTATCTTGTCTGTTATAAATCAATATCTAACCACTAAAAAAAAATTAACATGCTTTTAATTATGGTAACAAAAATCCAACTTCAATAAAAATGGCATGTCTCGTCTTATGTCACATGTTACGCCCCTATCTGAAACACTTCGAAAAGTCTACCACCGTGTCTTACGAGGTGTGCGACGCCCATCCGAAGTGGTTCCGAAGTGGATCCACCATCTGCTAACACACTGCAAAACACAGACAATCTACTGAACTGACCGAGGCGCCCTCTCCCCTGAAGCCGAAGCGCAGTTTAAGCCGAAGTTCTCTACTAGAGGATCTATCGCCAATTTTAGAAAGAGATCTATTTCAAGATCCTTTCGGCCCCCAAGATTCAATTGATTTGACGTTTCCATGAGCCTAGTTGATGTGACGTATCAACTTTATGTCAACTCGACTCGGGAGAAGTAATGATATGATCCAGGAGTCGAGCCCGACGAGGGCAAGTGCGAGACGAGACCCGTTGATAGTTGATGGTAGACCAATGATGCGATCAAGGGCAAAGCAAGTGAAACAAGCGATGGGATTGCTCGTTCGAGAAACCATTGATGGAATCATGTTCGGGACTCAAAATGGAGCAACTTTCATGTTCGGGTCGAAGGCCGAATTGACTTGGATCAATTTGTTATCAAGCGATGAAAGCGGAGGCAGAAAACAACACCATGTGGCCGCACAGGCAAAACTCCATGCGGCCGCACACATGCATATCGAAAATAAAAATTGACTTTCTTGATTAACCATGCGACCGCAAGAATTTAAACCATGCGGACGCACAAGCTAAAAAAATTGGCGGATTTTCTATTTTTGGCCGAATTTTTTAGTTTCGATAGAATTCTTATGAAATCAAATTATTACCATAATTTGATGATTTTGGACGTTTTTATTCATTAGTATAAATAGGAGTTTACTTTTCATTGTAACAACTTTTGAACTTTTGACTTTTAAATTAATATTATAGAGAGAGAAATTTATTCTTTCAATTTATTGTTCTTCTTGAACAATCTTGGAACTTATCAAGAATCAACTTCTTGTGGTGTTCTAATCAATCGGATTGTGGGTTCTTTCAATTGTAATTCAAGGGGTTTTAGGTTCTTCGCTAATCTAGGGTTTCTTGGTTCAATTCTTGGGGTTCAAGATCCAGAATCGGGTTAGTATTGACGTTCTTGGATTCCACATCAATCTCGTTGTGGGTTTCGTAGTTTCCATTGTTACGGAGTTCGCATCAGTTGGTATCAGAGCTTTGGCTCCAATTTAATCAGGTTATATCCTTTGTTTTCTAATTTTTTTCAATTTCTTGTGTTTTTGTGTCCAAAAGGTTTTCTTGATCCTTTGATCCAAAAATTTCATAAAAAAATCTTCAAATTTCGTTTCTAGGCTCAATTTTTGCCCAAATCAGTTTTCATTTTTTTTGTTGGTTTTGTTATTGATTTTCGGATCTAAAAAAAAAATTACTGTTCATCTGTGCGGTACTGTTCATCCGTACAGTAAAAAAAATGAATATAGGTCCGTTTGGTATTACTTTTGAAAAGTCAAGATGAACTTTTGAAACTCAAAAAATGCTTTTAGATTCGTTTGGCTAATTTTAAGCAAGTGTTTTTTCTAGTTAGAAAATTTTTAGAGGAAGGTAATCTAATATAACTTCATCTTAAAGTATTTTCGGAATAAGTAGCTCTTTTAAAAATTAATTTTTAAATAAAAATTAAAGTAGTTTTTGTTTTTCAGAAGTTTTTCTACAAAAATGCAAAAATAATAACAAAAATCATGCCAAATCGACCCTAAATATAGGACCAAAAGCAAAAAATGAAAAGTACGTAAAAAAAAATGACGTGGAGATGCCAATAGCATATCCATTGGAAGATGCTAAAATCCACCATTTTTTGCTTTTCTTTATCCAAAAGTCACCTCTCTCTTTCATTGCCCTCGTGACTAGCAACTTCTTTATAACAAACCAAACCAAACTAAACTTCCTTATCAAAACCATTGTTGCCGTATCTTTTATGTGAAGCTGCATATTTTGCTTGGCAACATGCCATCCGATCGTTATCGACAGTCCCAATTGCATGAATTGGAACACAAAATACTCAACAAACATTAGATCCAGCTACACCTTTCAATATGAGTCTCTAATCCCGTCTCAAGCAACTCCCTTGTAAGGATGGCAGGACATCGATCTCGACTTGGTGGTGCACAAAGTCTTTCTTGGTGCATGGATCATCAAATGTTAATAAAGGAATGACCATTTGAAAGGTGGTGGTAATTACTTAATTATATAGGGCAACTTCTATCCTTTGGCATTTTCACTTCCCTAGAGAGAGACTCTCTCTCAAGATTGCAACGCTTGTAGTATATTGGCAATAATAAAACACAGCTATCTTTTTTGTTTTAGGTATTCGACTTTTTGATTGATGATTGCTATAGTTCTTACATTCTTGTTCCTAGCACGTAATTTTGATACAAATTTATAAATGGTTAATAAATTCGATAAAAAATAAATAAAAATTCGACCACGCATTCAGAACTACTTATCTACAAACTTCCTTTATTTTGTTCAAAAACAAAAAATCTATCGAACCGTTATTTTTAAACACGACCTTGACACACAAGTTCAACTAGAACATCGGCAAATTGACTATTACTCGAGGCTAGATCAGAGCATTGAGAGGATTGTAAAAGCAGAGTTAACACCAAGTGCGCAACCGATATATGTTGGAGGCTTCAAAATTAGTACCTGTGGTGCCCGACCTCGGATCAAAAGGCTTCTTTCTTTTGTTCTTTCCTCATTTCCCTCTTCCAAAATCAATTTCTCAATTCTGCTGTATTTTCTCATCCTTTAATCACTAGAATAAATGGATGATTCGATGCTTCTAGGCCTGAAGTCAGGGCTATGAATTGTGAGAGTCAGAGCCGCCTTAAGCACTGGTTAGTATCAATGGATGCTGTGTCTAATTCTCCATGTTGCAGAGTGATAAAGGTCCAATGCACCAAACCTTGCCTTGGACATAATATTTTCCTTACAACTCTTCAATACTATCAAGGATTGCCTCTTCATTCTCAAAAGGGTATAGAAGAAAGAAATTTAAATACGAAAGCTTGTCTTTAAATTAAAAGGTTACGTCTTCTTTTAGTTTAGAAGGACGATGGTTATGTTGTTTTGAGTTTATAGACTTTTTCCTAAAAGTGCATCCCTTTGTCTAATGTTGCAGGGGGCACCCGCGGCGCGCAGACACCCCCCCAATATGGGGGGTGCCACTCAACCCCTGGACGCCCAGGGTTTGTTCAAGTGCCTTTTCCCTTTTTCATGTTTGGTATCCTTTCGTACTATATTCCAACATTTTCCTTATAGTTGTAAACCTTCATAAAAAACCACGGTTTTGGATGATGAATTCTTCCAAAGGCTATAAATAGGACATTTCATAAAGCAATTTTCACACACAAATTATTTACATAGGACCGGACCTGAGGCAAGACAAGCAAGGCCCTCGGCCCATGCCCAACATCAAAGGGGGCCCATAAATCTTCAAGATTTTTCGAGACCCAACAGCAAAGGATTAAACCATTAATCTCACTAACAAGCAAAAAGGTTCAAGCAAGTTCAGGAACAAGACTCAACCATGAAATCAGAGTGAAGGACAATCGTAAGGAAGAAAACAGAACCAGGGAATTTCCGAGGATATGGTGGAAGATTCAACAATACTTACATGCAAAGATGTCGAAATGTGTAGCAATTATGGACATTCTGCACCTGGAAATGGAGGAAATCCAGCTGCCTTTATTGTATTTGTATCACCACAGACAATTGCACGTGAAACTTGGTATTTCGATGGATCGTGCCACTCCGAATGTCAACAAATGATCACTTGAACTTTGGTAATGATTCTAGGCATATTGGGATAAAAGACAAGTCCTAGTCATAATTTATGTTGATCTAGATCTGCAGAACTCACCATTGCCATCGTTGAAAACTCCATCTTCCAGCTCAGTTGGTACAAGTCAAAGCAAGGACACCCATCACTTTGCCCCTTGTACACCGACACTCCCCTCACATGAGGGGAGAGGCCCACGCCCATTTAATGCGTGGGCCCCGTCCCCTATGTGAGGGGGCTGTACATCGAGCTATAAGGCTTGGTGTCCATGTAGCAGGGCCGATACTGAAAATCCATCCTGAACCAACACCCCTTGACCAAGAGCAACACGAAACAAATGATATAAAAACACTTGAAGGACTGGAAACCAACCTACCCACCGAAACTCTAGAGCAAAAACAAAAATCAATCCAAGTCTCTTGCCATCACATGGATACGAGATCAAAAAATGGGATCTTCATACCAAAACCTACTCTTTGAAGCCAAAAAATATCTCCATTCACCGAAAATGAAAGTTTAGAACCAACAACAGTTAGTGAAGCCTTGAAATCGGCTGAATGGATGAAAGATATACATAATGAATACCAAGCCCTCGTGAAAAACAAGAAATGGAGTTTAGTTCCATGCTCATCCGGTCTAAACATTTTTGGCAACAGATGAATTTTCAAAACTTAGTTTAATCCAAATGGAGGACATAAAGCAAGGTTAGCGGTAAAGTGTTTTCATCAAACCCCTGTTTTAGGCCTTTATGAGACATTCAGTTCAGTCGTAAAGGCACCACCCCCTATACCACTTATTCTTAATCTAGGTGTCTCAAAGAGGTTGGGCTATAAGACAATTGGATATAAACAATGCATTTTCGAAAGGTTTCTTCACAAGAAAATGTGTTTATGAGCCAACCTGAAGGTTCTTGTATGACTCAAAACAAGCTCCAAGAGTTTGGTATGATATGCTAAAGAGATATTTTGTTATTTGGGACTTCAAAAATTCAAGAGTTGATCCATCCTTGTTTATTTGTGTTAATCTATGTTGATGACATACTAATCTCCAGAAACGATCACAAACTAATCTATAAGTTCATCACGCATATGAAAAAGCACTTTGCTTTCATAGACTTAGGAGAAGTTCATTATTTCCTTGGTATTGAGGTGACTCAGGATGAATCAGGAGAGTAAGTGGATCTTTTTCTGTTTCAAGAGCAATTGGAGATGGCCATCTTATTCAAAATTACAGAAGAGAGCAAGTTTTTGATCCTCGCCTCAGATGTACATTGGGATAAGGTAATATATGAAACAATGTTGAGCTCATCGTAGTTATATCCACATTGTTGAAACAGTGATTCGATTAAGAGATAGGACGCTAAAAATGCTTTCCACTTTTTTTTGCATGTTAGAAATCAGGAAGCAATAGATGTAGTTCATCCTTTATACGTGGGCGTTGACAAGCCAGAATTATATTCTACTTGTAAAATGCTCATGGACTTGTCACAGTTGAGAGGATCTTCTGATGATATTAGTTATGGTGATCCTTCTAAGTTTCTTCATTTGGTGACTCATATGCTAGGAATAACTTAATATAGTAGAAGTATATGGCACCTGCAGCTGCAAGTGTATATTTTGGAAAGTTGCAATCAGGAATAGCGAGTGACATTGATTGACTTAAACTATTTACAAGAACAATTCTTGTATTCATTCTATTGGCCATTACATGCGCCAGCAGCAAGGTTCAAGAATCAGCATTCTTTTTATAAAGGAAGAGTGATATTATAGAATATCTTAATTAGACAACCTTAAATTTGACACAGAATACCTTATAATCAATAAAGAATAGGACATTGAAACATCATGTGCAATTACCAGGTAATGAATGATCCTTATGTTGATTGCTTATTCTTCTTCACAAGTTGTTCGATGTCTTGAATTAGCATAGTCATGTTGAGATAGGATGATCCACCTTCTTCGACTGACCTCTTTGCCATTTCTTTTAGCGCTTTTGCTTTTTCCCTTCTTTCACATCCTTTTTTTCCCTTATCCATTACCATGTCAATGGCAGCCTTAACCTCGTCCTTCATCACCTTTATCCCAGTCTCTTCTTGAGCGGTAAAGTCTACAGCAGCTTCAGCTCCAACTCTTACACCCGTGCCCAAAATTTGTACTACTAATTTTTCATTTAGAAATTGCTCGGCAAACAATGGCCAACTGATCATTGGCAGGCCAGCACATATACCTTCTAGAGTTGAATTCCAACCGCAGTGTGTTAAGAATCCTCCTACTGAAGAGTGGGATAAAATCAGTACTTGCGGCGCCCAACCTCGGATCAAAAGGCCTCTTTCCTTTATTCTTTCATCGAATCCATATTCCAAAATCCACTTCTCTATTTCTTCTGTTTTTTCTATGTTTATCACTAGAATAAACGGAGAGTTTGACGCTTCTAGGCCTAAAGCCAGCTCTATAAATTGTGAAGGCGTTAGACGGCTGAGGCTTCCAAGGCATGCGTAGATTACAGAATCCGGCTCGTGTGAGTCGAGCCACCTCAAGCACTGGTCTGTCTCAATAGAGGCCTTCTTCCCTCTTTCAGCTTTGTCTAAATTCTCCCTGTTGAAAAGTGAAAGTGGACCAATGCACCAAACCTTTCCCATTTTGATCTTCCGAAATTCATCAACATATCTTTGTTCCAAATCTTCGAAACTATTGACCACCACCCCATAAGATAGTGCTTCAGTTGCTCGTATATCTTCAAAAACATCGTGCGCGTCCACCGAGCGTGGGTTGAGCAATTCCGGCAGCTGGAACTTGGTAAACTCAATTCTATCAGGTAAACTAGGCACGACAAAAGGCTCCAACTCGGGCGCAGTTTCATGAACCTTGGAAATGTGCAATTTATTCATTATTAATTGTGTGAAGCAACTCATTCCATCAAAAATAATCCTCGGAATCTGAAGATTATTCGATAAATCGGCCGTCCAGGACAGATGCTTATCGCATATAATGCAACTAGGAGCTGGCTCAAGTCCTTTAAGCATCTGTTCCAATGGCTTTTGTAGCATTTTTGCTGCATTAAAGAAGTTCCTTATTAACTTATAGGATGGTAAAGTGTCTACACTTTCACATCCTAAAGGCAAACCGGCTTCCTGACATGGAAACCGGAGCTGAAGAAGCCGAATGGGGAGTCCAGACGAGATAGCACGATCAATCACTGCATTGAACCTGATTGTGTTGAGGGGCGTCGTGACTATTGTCACAATCACACTGCGTTCTGCAAACAACTTTGCCATGTCTATCATTGGAATTATGTGGCCAGGGGCCATTAGAGGTATCAAAACAAAGTTTAGCATCTCTGGTTGCAAAGCAATTGAGTTTTCTCAGAGCCTAGATTATAGGATGCTAAATACACGAAAGTATACAAAATTTTTATTGGGATATTCTATTGCTCAATAGAATAAGTTTATATCACATCTATCTGTTTTTCCCTATCCTAATCCTAGTGATGTAAGAGCTTACAAAAGCATGTACAGTGTTGTAGGTATAATTTGCAGAGATAATTGCACTGGCAAGCAATATTGGATACGAGTATACGACATTAAAATTAAAAGGTAAAAATATGAATAGGGTACAATCAAAAAACCATTATCCACTATTTTTTAATACGGAATATATTGCTACCATTATACCATCCATTGATATTTGATAGCGAGTACAAGCAATAAAACAACACGCTGCTTTTGACAGCGAAGAAGATATATCAAAAACTATATGACAAAATTAGTATGGTCACTAGTGAAATCATTTGATTCGTTCCAAAAAAAACAAAAAAAACAAAAAACTCAATTGTGACAATTAGGGCCATCTAGATACATAAATGGTGGGTGGGAGAAATTTCTTAATTTATCCAGAAGAAATTCATTTTATTCTGAAATGTATCTTCACAGTTTATAACAGTTAAAATTGACATGTCGGAAATTTGAGGCATGAAAAGGTTTCTCAGAATCACAGTAAAAAGTATCAGGAGAACAGTTGATGCGGTAACTGTTGTAGACTACATTAGTAAATCTAATATGGAAAATACCATTTGTACAGAAAAATGGTTTACCACCTTCTTGACAGATTCTCACATTCGCGTGGAATCCGCGTGGGACTCGAGTGAAAAAAAAATGATAAAAAATTGCTCTCCCTTCCCCTTATGAGTCTGTTCTGTCAAGGAGGGTGTCAAACCCTCTTTGTACAAACAGCAAGGTCCATCTAATATATAAATATATATTTGTAATGTATGGCTTATTGCAGCAAAAGTAATATATTCTTTTTTATTATTATTATTTTTTAATAAACATGTGGTGATAAGTCTTGTGTATTAGGTGGAGTGGTTGAAAAAAGAAAGTAATAGAAGGGCCATGCTATCGTGACGGTGGCCTTGTTTGTTTAGCATTTCCCGTCATACAATGCTCTCCACCTAACTCTTGCACATTTGAAAAAAATAATAAAAAAGTTGAACTCCAACTTTAAGGGTTTTCACCGTCCTGTCCCTAGAGCTTTGTGAGGAAGGTAAATCGCGGGATGTACCCCAACAGACCAGGGAACAAGAGTTTTCCGTACACCACCCCTACAAGGAGTCCAATTTTATATCTCAGGAATCGAATCTCCACATAGCCGCTGTCAACAAAGCGTGAGATAACCCCACTCATGTCCTTTGAATCACTGGACTATGTCTTGGGGCATTCTTGCACATTTATTTTCGAATTGAATGGTGGGTGGGAGAAATTTGTTAGAAGAAAGTCATTTTATTTTGAAATGTATCTTCCCAGTTAATAAAAGTTAAAATTGACTGTTCTAGTCCATTTAAAAAAGCTGTATATACTATGAAGCCAATAGGAGGTTCTTTTATGTCATATCTTGCCCTCAATCACTGTCAATGTAATAGGCAATTTTGAAATTGTTAAGACTTATGCCTCATATAGCATCAAGAAGGTTGTTCCTCACTTCCTTCTCATCCAAAATCGTGCATGAGAGCTATAGAGTCGAACAAATTATCCTTCAGTTGGTTCAAAATAAAGAATCAGGTGCCAGACAGTGGCGAATCCCGGAGCTTGACCGAGCACGGGCGGTCATTGATCGTCTATTGTTAGCCGCAATAAAATATTAGGAGCCTGTTTGATACCTCTTTTTTTTGGAAAAAATGCATTTCGAAATAATGTTTCGATATAGAATGTGTAGCTGAAAATAAAAAAAAATTTTGAATTTGCGTATAATATTATTTTATTAAAGAATGTATGGTTGAAAAGAAGAGAAAATATACTTTGAAAAAAAATGGGAATCAAACAAGAGAAAATATTATTTTATTGAAGAATGTGTGGTTGAAAAGAAGAGAAAATATACTTTGAAAAAAAAAGAATCAAACAAGAGAAAATATTATTTTATTGAAGAATGTGTGGTTGAAAAGAAGAGAAAATATACTTTGAAAAAAAAAATGGAAATCAAACAAGGCCTAAAGTTTAAATATAACAATTATTTTGTTCAAATTGAACATATATAATTTTGTTATAAAAATAAATCGGACTCATCAAATGACATTGTTGCCAAGTTTTATATAATTCAAAGGAATAGCACCGGTCCAAATTTTTACAATTTTACTTTCATTAAAACTAGATGAAATCTAACAAATAAAATTTTGTTAAAAAATTACCAATTTTAAACAAGTGCTGCAATGGTTAAGTTTGTAATTCCTCTCATATAAGGTCATGAGTTCGAGATCCCTAAGGTCCCCTTCGTGTTGTTTTTGGTAAAAGGTGTAGAATAAAAATATTTCACAATAAATGTGAAGATAAGGAAACTCGAACCTGCAACTTTCAATTTATGCATGCAACCACATGAGCTAGAAGGTATATTTGAGTATAAAATGACTTATTAGTTATATAACCTAAAATTTTAACATATCTTCAACAGGAAAAAGTGCTCCTGACGAATCCAACACGGGAGGCCGCTGGGGCTCGCCAGGTGCTGGATCTACCACTGGTGCCAGAATTAGGGAAAAAGAAGTCAAGAAACCGAATTTTCTCAAGATTTAGAGTTGAGAAAGTAAACAGAATGTCAAATTACTGGGAACCAAAAAAATGTTGCAACATCCATCTTAAGGATACAATACACGAATCTATGATTGCATGACCTCTAACATCTATTTACAACATCTAAGCAAACTTAACCGTTCTCACAACTGAAATTCCTTTCTCGAGTAATGAAATTTGACAAATATGAAGTGACATACCGGAAGTAGCAAGAAAATGGCACTAGACAGTTGAACCAGTTTATGGCAGTATAAAATAATAATCAGATTGTGATGTCTGCAAGTCAAGACCAAACATGTCCATTATCTATCTTCTGTTTCTTTTTTTATTCTCCTTTCTTCTTTTGGTTCCATCCTTGCTTCAGCACTTTTTGAATACTTTGAGCAAATCTCTAATACTTTACTTTTTGCATTTCGAAATAGTGCATCTGACTTTGCAGCCATGAGCCATCAATTGCTGATACAAGAAAGAAATGGGTTTTAGTTATTTCCAAATGATGCGCAGTCAATATTACGTTGCAGATTCAGAATTGAACTAGCCTAAGATAAACCATTGTAGCCAAGTTGAAACTGAGAGTATCTTTGCATTCCTGTGACAATGCAAACATCAATGCACAAGGCAAAGCAGAGGCAAAGTGAAATACAGAATTGGGATGCTAGGACGTGTGCACTGAATTTCACCTAGTGGCGGCAACCAGCCGAGCCAAGCCAGCTCGCTAGCCCAAGCTCGAGGCTCGATATCGATCATAAAAAAAAAAATGCTCAAGCTTCTGTATGCTAAGAAGTGTTGATGTAGGATGCAATAGAACAATTGTAGGAGAAGGAGAAGGTTTCAAAGAAGAGAACAAGAGGTGGAAGGGGAAGAGGGGAAAGGGGGGAGAAGATATCAAATTTTATTGTTGCCTTCATTATATCACATGGCTCTAGGGATTTTTTTATTTGGCCTATCACTATTCATTTTTATGAAAAAGTCTATATTATTCTTAATGAAATAATTCTTTCTATATTGCAACATATATCTTATTATTTTAAATATTTTATCTTATATTTACTCTTATTTGAATATAATTTCATTTTATGATTTAATAAATTGAAATAATCTGTAACATATTGTTCACATTTATTATTTAATATATTAAATTCTTCAAAAGATTAATCCATATTTTCTAATTGAGAATACACATTTTTTATTACTTCTAACATTCTTTCTAATAAATTATTTATTCCTTTAATTGTATATCTGACATTTATTCATACAAATAATCATCAAATTATACAATTAATCTCTTTGATTCTCTAAGATCTAAAAAGATTCATTCTAATTTTATCAAAAAATTAATAGTTTTACCTTATGTTTGATCTAGATCTTTATTCTTAGAACCAAGTAACCTTTGAGCTCTGAATATGTAAACTGCTTCCTTCAACGATCTCCTGCCTTCATAGAATCTTTACAATTTCAACTTCTTGCTCTCACTGTAACAATTCTAAAGAATAAAATTATATACTTCTGTTAAAGAAAAACTATATTTTTGCTAAAATGAGAATGAAACCTTCTATTTGATCTTTCAAGAATCCTTGGGAATAAAGATTTAGAAACTCATATTGATATCAAAATAAAGATTTTTTTTTTCGGGTATTCAAGGATTTCCAGAAAAACTGGTTTTTCAAACTAAAGATGGCTTAAGTGTGACTATTGATTACAATTCGAGATTTCAAGATAAGATGATTTCTATCTATTACAATGCCTCTATTTATACAAATATATGAGGCTCTATAATTGATCTATTACATCATTCAATACATCAGCAAAGGCACACTTACCTCTCTATTATTTTTCTCCTTGGGCCTACATCTTCCATGCTTCTTCAACTTTTTATCCAAAGAGTATCTTTCTTTATCTTCTATGTCTTTACATGCAGCTGTATTATTGTCCTCTATATAGCTTTGTCAAAAGTGCTCTATTATTGTCTTCTTTTTTCACATACAGTCGGGGCACTCCCTTAACTGACAAGATTCTTTTATAGTGGTAGAACATCCTGAAATTTGATGTATTTCGAATTTTGTAATATAATCCTTCAATATTTCTGATTTTCCATGTCTTTGATTTGATACCAGCATCCAGTTTTCATATTAGGACAAGCATAAGAATTTTTTGTCAAACAAACTTTTGGCAATGTTGTATGTGGCTTTAATTTCAAGTGCTCTTCTATGTCTGATCCATGATTTTGTCATTGTTGAAACTTTTCTATTATTTTCCACCACATCTATTTAGAAGTTGGCTGCAACATATCCAATTGAGATTATGTGTTCAACTGGATAGTAAACAACTCCATCATATTCAGGACTTATTATATAAAATTTCAAATATATTTTTCGTCATTTGGCAAATCTGGATACTTCTTTTATGAATATATCATTAAATTTAGAAATTTTTATCAAATCTTTTCCTGGATATATCAAATCAATAAATCCATAGTCTGCCATAATTTTAATAAATAAATGGTCTCCTCCTTC